CCCCCCCAGGCACCCAACTTATGCCTGGGCACACGCCCGGGTGCCCGGCGTTTGATACACAACCACAGTTAATAACAACCACGTGTTAACATGCGTTTGTAACTTTGTATTCAATTGAAGAGATGCTTTGATGACTTCACACAGCCTGTCTGGCATTGTGCCTTGTGTGCTGTTGACTGCTTGCCTTGAGTTTGCAGTTCCATGAATCCCCAGGTAGGGTTCCGGGTAGCCCCAGCGCAAAAAATAAAAATAAAAACTAGGAAGATTTTCATGACCGGTCGGTCACCCGGGCATGACGCCCGGGTGACCCAGTCATGGCAAAAAAAAAAAATTGGCGGTGGGGKTTTTCCGCACTCTCTGAGAGGAGCCCAAATCCGGGCTCTTTTCTTTTTTTGAGTGTTGGCTGTCAAGGGGGGGAAAGGGGAGTGTAAATGAATTTAAAGGGGCTAAAGGGGTTTAAAGGGGGGTGCCTTAGTGTGATATGGTTATTTTATTTTTTATCTTTAGTTCTGTGGGGAATTCTGATGTGACCCTCAGCCAAAAGTTGTTTGTATTGCAATTGTACACAACATATTTTGTTTTCAGATTTTTTTGGATTTGATTTCTTTTTTTTTTTTTTTTTTTTTTTCGCTGAGGCTGCCCGGGGCCATGCCCGGGGGTCATGCCCGGCTGGTCACCCGGTCGCCAATCCGGGCGGGACATCGGGACCCGGGCGCCCGGGATATCTCCCTAGAATAAAAACAAATAAGTAAATAAATAAAAATCTGGAAAACAATTATGTTGTACAGAATTGCAGTACAAATGACTTTTGGCTGAGGGTCACATCAGAATTCCCCACAGCATCGTAGATAAAAAAGAAACTAACAGAATCACACTAAGGCACCCCCTTTTAAACCCCTTTAGCCCCTTTAAAACCAATTTATAGCCCCTTTCCGCCCCCTTGACAGCCAACTCTCAGAAAAAGAAGTGAGCCCGGATTTGGGGTCCTCAGGGAGAGCGCAAAAAAAACAGACTTTTTTTTTTTTCCCACGTCCGGGTGCACGACCGGCCGGGCGTGACAATCTTCCTAGCTGTTTTCTCTTTTGTTTCTTTTGACGGGGGTGCCGACAATAGTTTTGTATGGCTTAGGGTTCGGGCAGCAGCTTAGATCAACCTCACCACCCTAAGTTACAGTAATCCTACCCTAATCTGAGACTGGTTGCCGTAATCAGTTTGTAATCAAAGTCAGGGCAGCTTAATCACCTCTCGCCCGGAATTAAGGGTTGTTAATCACTTGCTATGATCCCTCTCTCCCTCTCTTCCTCTCTCCCTCTCTCCCTCTCTCCCTCTCTTCCTCTCTCCTCTCTCCCTCTTTCCCTCTCTCCCTGTCTCCCTGTCTCCCTCTCGCTCTGTGTGGGTTTGCATATCTCTGTGGCTTCTTGCCCCCTCCTAGTCCCTCCCAACACACGTGCACATAACTGCCTGTTCGTCAAAAAAAACATCTGAAATGTTTTTTAACTTTTTTTTCAACTTTTTGCCATTAGAAATCTTGGTATTTAAATTATAATCTCCCTCATTTTCCTATTTCCCTCCGACTGTCTCTGTTTCCTGTTTAGGAATACGCCCCCATAAGCCCGTGAAGGAGTCCGGGGGCTGAGATTCCACTACCAGGAATTAAGAGATCTTCAACTTCCATTTTCCTGATATGTAATCCGTACTCTCAGTCCGTGCCAGTGGACTGTTGGCCCAGATTGACGTATAAAAGTGGGATGTGTATTTGAGTGTTCATGGACCTTAGGACTTCCCTGGATGTACCTGATCATAATTTATTAGTTTCAGCCTGCCCATGATGTATCTGGCTGCAATTACGTCTGGAGATCAGTTGAAACTTGAAATAGTTCCAGTGCTCATTGCTTATACATGTGTTGCACACTTCCTTTCTCCTTCTGCTCAATTTTTATGGCTCAATTACTGTCTGGTGCAGGTATTGATCGCCAATCGGGACCGGGTCCGTGCTCCTGGAAAAGTGGAGAGGTCCACAAGGTACGGTGAATAAAACAAGATAGATTTGAGAAAAAGAAGTTATGGAAGGCAGGGAGAAGAAAAAGGAGAGAATCCAGAATTTAAAATTTTTAATTTTTTATACCTTTTTTTTTGTTTTGTTTTTACTACTTTTTAGTAAGTTTTTACCAGTTTTATAAGGACATTATCTAGAGATTCTAGACATCCATTGGTCTAGATTCTAGAATTCTTGTACCAGTTCTATGTTGACACTGTGTGTCTAATGATATGTTAATGGAAGAGGAACTGGACCGCCCTGCTTTTCCTATATAGGAGCCTTATCCATGAGGCTGCAATTCTTCAGATGTTTTTTTTTTTTTTTTCAATCTTCCACAGCCGGAGAAGAGCCTCTGTTCCCCTTGAATGATTTGAATCTTTTGAGGGTCTCTCTCTCTCTTTTTTTTTTTTTTTTTAATCAAACTTCCACGCGAGGACCTTGAAATGACAGTGAAAGTTCTGAAGCCAATTCTTTCTTTCTGCTCCTAGTTTCTCCAGAGTCCAAACTTTTTTTTGTTGGGCAAGCCAGCAAAACTCCTGCCTCACTTTTATTGATGGCCATTGCAACACCTGCCGATAATGGTTCCGTCCTGCAGGTTCTGACACACTCTACCTTCTCGTGTCTTTGATCTTACACTGGCTTAACTGATCGTGTGTGCTCTTCTTCACAGCATTGATTGCTTGCAATTAATTGCAGGCTGTGCACATGACAAAAGTGATGCCTGCCATCAATGGCCCAGACAAGCTGATATTCTGTATGGTGACATGGATATGAAATTGCCAGTTGTCAAAGGAGCGCATCTGCTGCCCGGTGCGTGATTCGGTCGAAGAAGAAAGAGTGTGATGCGGTTGAGCACGGGAGAGAATGTGGTCGGGTCTGCATCTTGAGTCCATAAAAACAGACCAGTAGAAGCAATGGCCTTGTCTCAGTTCTGTCGTAACCTGTCATGAGGAAGCGAAGTCATCACTTGGTGTTTGCATTATGAAACGAAATGTGATGACATGACATGAAAATGAAATGAAATGAAAGAAACAGAAGCAACGGAAAATAATTTTGATGAAATGAAAATGAATTTGATGAAATGAGAATGAATTTTATGAAATGAAAAAATCTACGTTATTAGAGTGCCTGGGAACACTTGCCAAGCCAGACCAAAAATGATGAATTAAAAAAAAAAAAAACAAAACATATACGAGTCGGCGAAACTCCGACGAGACAGATTATCACAGCCCCTCCTCTATTGTCCTCTTCTCCCTCTCTGCCAACAGCTTACCAGGTCGCTCGACCATATATATCATCAAACAGAGCTTAAGGCAGACCGAAGACTGGTCTGCAGACTCAGGCTTGTCGATGATGTATCACTGTTCATCGCATACAAAGGGGCGGATCACAGAAGCTAGAGGAAGGCCAGTCAAATTTGGAGGAAGTTGGAGAAGAACTACGCCTCAAATCAGACTTTGAAAAGCACTGACAAGGGGTTGGGTGTCTTTGGATTATGTGGGTTGCCATTTGATGGTCAGCACCAGGTACACATACCTGGGCTCGGTTCAGAAAGTTAAAAATGAAAAAGCGACTGTGATAAGCTAGGATCCGTACTTAGCGGCTTCACGTACCCTTCAGAGTAAAATCCGAAGTAAGCCCCGATGCACGTGATCAAGAAAAGCAGGGTCCATTTTTCAATTTTTGGGACTAAAAGCCTGCATCTTTCAAAATCGCCCCTGTCCTCATTGGTTCTGCGTGCGGACGGTTAGCCACCACACGGAAAAATCCAAGAAACAGTTAGGAATTATGGTTGTCGGGATTCAAATTTCCTTCGTGTTAAAGCGTGCGCGGCCGTTTTGAATTTTTGCATGCCGCGTAAACTCGCTTTCCGCTTTGTACCTACGCGCCATCTTCCCTTCTTGCAAGGGCACGCATACCTCTTTGTCTTCCCCCAACTCTGCGCCCGATCCTCTCCTTACCTATTAACGTGAATGATTGGTCGTCTAGTTGGGATGGTCGGATCAATGCTGCGAAAACGAATTGCACGTGCAGCTTGGACGACCACCCCAATCAAACGGAACTATCGATCATCCCACCTCTTTCGATCCCTCTGGAATCTCCTTCCTTCTTCTGTCCTGCTCATCTGCAACCCTTGCTGCCCGCACCGCGCGCTGGCACCCCAACGCCTTCCGCGCTATAAATTGTTGCAGCCCCTTCCTCTCCCTCTCTTTGATCTCGGCTGCAATGCTGAGCGAGCTATCCGCGAAAACCACGGCGTCAAATAGACTCAATGTGCCCAAGTGATGGGTGGGGTGACGACGCGGGGTCGACTTAGCGATAGACTTGGGGTGAGGCAGTTGGAGGGGCGGAGTGGTGGTGGAGATCGAACGCCACCAGCAGCACGGCCTTGTGGCTATGGTCGGTTGACGTTTGGATTGGTTGGGGGCTGCGCTCGAGGGAGGTCATCCGTGTGGGAATTTTGAATAGCGAGGGACTCACCTTTGTCCCCATTGCTGCTTTGTCCAAGTGTGGTGTGTGCAGTATACTGAGTGTGGATACTCAGTCGCATGCATGACGTTGGTTATGAGGGTCTATGGATGCTGAATGTCTCGCTGTCCAAAATAGATGGATGTATAGATGTGGAATGAGGTCATGTGTGCGAGGCGCCTGCGGGCGCAGCTCCGGGGAGCACGAGGGTGTCAAACATCTGCCTGAATGCATGAGCGTGTTGAAGTCCCTCTCGGTGCCACGTGTGAGCGCAGGGATCGTCGCTGACTCCTCCCTTCCTCTCCCCTCTCGCGCGCAAGTGCCACGTGTCAGTTGGTCTTGTGTTCCATCCAGCTGGCTTCCGACAACCAGGGACATCGGTCGCATGCGTCCTCACGCGTCGCCCGATCTCTCTGTTACTCGGCCATAGCCATTTTGTTCTAGTAACCAGTTTGTGACTAACGACTCCGTGTCCCTGAACTTGCATCTTGATTAAGAAGGAGGGAGTGGGGTGAGACCCATTGAGATTTGTATGGAGTTGAGATTCACCTCGTTAAACGTGAGCGCGGGTAACTGCCCGTGCTCAACCTTCTCGTCGATTCGCCACAGTGTCCTTCTGCCCTTCCCGATCGCAGACGAAGACTGTGTGTACTGCGATGCGGACGTGCGGAGCGCGCTGTTGCAAACCGACTGGGTTCATTTCTACAACCTGTCTAAGGCCTGTCATGTAGGGGGAAGTGAGTTTGTTCTGATTGATCGGTTGTCCTCCCCTCCCCTGATCTTGCCGTACACCGATTTGACGGTGCTGCCTTGGTCAGCGGCCCACGCCACGTGGCGGCCCCAGTTTAATTGTCGCTGGTGTCGGCAGGGAGACTCGTGTTCCTGGTGGAGGCTGGTTCTGGGGTACGAAGGTGTAGCCAGGTTCCCAGAACTCTCTCGCAGTGCGGGCACCCTCCCGGCGAGCTTCCGAACCTAGGTCCCCCTGGTCTTGGTCCAATCGGACGATGTTGCACCTAGTCGACCTCGCGGACTCGATGAATCCGACTCGGAAGTCTAGATGCTCCATATCTCTGGGTTCCTTCCATAGAGTTTGCGTGAACCTAGCGTGAGAAAAGCGGTGAATTCCACTCTTCCCTTCTCCTTTTCCTTTTCTTTCGGGTTGTCAGTCGTCAGCCTAGTCGCGCGCTGCTCTCAGTTCCCTCGGCCGAGCGGAAATTTTGAATTATACCCCGCGCGTCGGTCCTGATTAACCCCTCGAATTCCCTAGTATCTTCATTTTGTCCTCTACGTCGGCCTGAACTTTGGGATAGCCTCGGAATGAAGCGAGAATCCCCCGTTCTGTCCAGGTGATTCGACCCCCGGCCAAAAATCCTCGGCCACGCCCCCAATTACTCTGACCGGCGCCTGTTGGCACAGGACGTCCCACGGGGTGTGAGGTTAGCGCATCACAGGACCTTGTGGAAATCGGAGGACCTACCGGTCAGAACCAGTCAGGACTACAGATCCTGGACCAGCAGACGGCGCAAAGCCACAGCCGGTACAGGAAGTCTTTCATTGGATGGATCAGAATACCATGGAACGGACGTAGATAACGGTTCAGGTGTTGATGCTTCGCAGGGAAAACCGGCCGAAAGGCTTCCCGGACTGGTTCTTCCAGAAGGTGCTGGTACAGTCGGCACGGAAACGAGACGTGTTCTGGACGCTAGCCAGTGAACTGCTAAAGTTAGTGTAGGAGTTGACAAGAGAGAGAGTATGAAGTAGCATATAATGTCAACGCCCGTCGATATCATCCTCCTTTTCGGACAGTTGTTGGACAATGGGTACGGGTTCCCCCCGACTATCGACATGGTAATGGTGGAGTGCTGGCTAAGGGACAGGGGGAAGAAGGGTGGCGAGAAATTGCCGAAAATGCTTGGGGATTGCACAATCAGGAGCTGCACCCTTGTCGGGTAGCACACTCGAATTCTGTTTTTAAAGCATTTGTGACTCATTGGCAAATTTGTCTACTATGCTATGGAGTTATCCATGTATGAAGTTGTACTACACAGTGTCTTGCGAAGAGTCTCTGTGTGATGTGATGTCAACATTGTGAAGAACAGAGCTGCCCAGTAAACTGTAGGCAGAGAGGGCAAAGAGGGCAACAAACAAGGGGCTGTGACAACTGCTTCGTCCAAGTTTCACCGACTCATCAGGAGGCTGAACCCTCTACAGTGCACAGAATTCCCTAACTAATTAGTAATTACACTGTAAGTGATAATCCACCTTAACCCCGGTTGTGGTTAAGCATCAACAACTGCAAGACAACTGACCCTGAGGTCGGCACCAACTACTGCCCTCAAGGTACCTGTGATGAAAATCAAAGCAGCCTATCACTCACCCACACCAGATGGAAACTCTGTAAACTGCATGTTCACACACCCAATCACAGGCCCACAAAACACCCATTTTTTACAAACAAAGGTAGGTCTGTCACAGCCAGAAAATACACTCTAGACACGCTGCTGTCACTCGAGGCGCAGCATTGCCGGGTAGTGACAGGCCCGACCACTGACGCTCAACCTGACAGGAGGAAACCGTAGCACGGTAGTATCGAAGTTGTGGTATATATTGTCAAACAGAACTGCCATGTAAACCGTAGCAGAGAGGGAGAACAGGACAATAAACGAGGGGCTGTGACAAACTGTTTCGTGGAAGTTCCACCGACTCATATACTTTTTTTTTTTTAATATAGTTTGTGTTTCAAATTTGGCAAAGAATTTAGATGTGACCCTGAGACAAAAGTCATTCGTTTGATTTTTCTGGACAACATAGGTTTTTCTCCGGATTTTTCGTGTTTTTTTTTTTTTTTTAAATAGGGACCTTCCCTGCCCCTTGCCTGACCGGGCTGCATGGGCAACCAAAGTGACCAGGACCGCCTGGTTGGTAACGCAGTTGAAAATGGGATTTGATGAAATGAAATGGAAATGGAAATGAAATGAGAACGAAATGCAAATGAAATGGATCAAAAAGTCGTCAAACTTACAAAAAAGAGGTTTGTCGACTGCAGGCCTTGGTGGAAGCCGCCGTTGCTTACTGCGTGGTTGGGGTCTGCTATGGCATACTTTCGACACATGACAAGAAACAACACCCTGACAATGGCGAGGCAGAATATCGTTGCACATTACGACTTGGTGAGATTCCATCGACGATAGGAACCTCTTTACGGGGCTGTGTTCTTTTCTGCTGCACCGCTCATCATAGTCTTTCACTCTCTGCATTCAGTGCTCTTAGGACTTACACAATCTACCCATCAGCTTTCTGGTCTGAACTTGCTCCCTCTCCTTCATTACCAGGTTTGTCTGAACGATCCTTACAATCCTTATTGAGTTTGTAAACATGCAGTCTTCATTGGTCTGTATTGCTATTATATGTAAACTAGGATGCTGTTGATACGAGCTCTGGCTATGGTGTCCAAGTGTGTTCTTTTGACTCGCTGATCTTGAATGCTCTCTGTGCTCACTATTTTAGTATTTTCAGTGTGTCCCACTCTCAGTGTGTTCACTGTATGAGCTTGCAACTATACACACATGCAGTGTACTTTGCTAATTTTTGAAATGCGGTAGACGTTCCATAGTGCAATCAGACTCGACCTAGACTTGCTCACAACATGCATACACACGGACTGATGGCAAAACCAAACTCTTAACTCAGAATCAACAATGAACTTGCACGTAAACTCTGTTCATTACAACTGTACAACTTGCGACTATGGCCGCTGAACACTGTCTCCACCACCAGCCTCACTCTCCCTCATGCACGCATGTACGAGGATCACCCTGAATGTCCACGCTACACAGACACACACACTCTGTACACTCTGTCTGCACCAACAGCTGAGCGGCTATGGCCGCCGTTGTCTTCCTCCTCCTAGCTATGGCCGCCGGTGTCCTCCTCACTGGCCAGCTATGGCCGCTGTCTTCCTCACTTCCCACTTCCTCTCCGGGCACCTGCAGACTTCCAAGCACAAGATACCAAGGCAGCTCTTCCGCATGGCTCACAGGCGAATGAATGAATGGCTGGACGCTGCCTCTTTATTTATACTTCACCGGAGGTGGATGGGCCCTGCCTCAAAACGCGTGGGCCTGGGCCTCTCCAAAACGTGTGAGCCCGGGCCTGGAAGTTTCCAAACCACGTGGGCCTCCTGGGCCAGAAAGCGCGGAACTCTCCGCGTGCTCCAGAACCTTCCCCACGTGCAGCCCGTACCCAGGTACCTGCTGACTGGACTGCTTACAGGGACCTACGACCTTCTAGAGCCTACAGGTTTACAGACAGACTCTAGGCCCCCGTAGACCTAGGTAGAGCCTACTGGTAACAGACTCAACTCCTAACCTACAGACCTAGGGATCGACTCTCACACTGATCGCTGGGCCTATGTAGAGGGTACAGGGTAGGTCTAGGGATCGAATCTCACTCAGCACACAGGGCCAGTGTACAGGGTACAGGGTAGGTCTAGGGATCGAATCTCACTCAGCACACAGGGTCAATGTACAGGGTTTGGGCACCGGTCTAGGGATCAAATCTCTGTGTCTGCAAATGTCGGGTCAACTGGGTGAAACCGTTTCAGTAGGGACCCAAAATGGAGATAGGTTCAAATAGCACCTTTCTGTGACTTAATTCTTGCTTACTAGTGTTTTAAATCCACCTTTGGTTGGTTTTCTCCAAGGAGAAATGGACCTCCAGCCTCCTTTTGTACGTCCTTCTCCTCCTCCCCCAAGTGGGAGACTGGAGCTTGAGTGGGAAACCCAAACAAAAATGCAAAACGGATGAAAGAAACATGCACAGACCCAAAGTAGTCGTTTTTTTCTGGTGCGCTGTGTAAGGCATATTTCGTCGATATCGGATGCCGACCGAAGTCAGGCACAAAGTGCAGCAAGACATATAGAAAATCCATGTTTTAGGTGTTTCAAAATACAGGACTTTCACAAAACGTATGTTTTGCAAGTATAAAGTTATCAGCTCAAGTCCGATCGTCTCCAATTTCCCTGTACATCACTCTCCGCCCAAAATGTACGCAGCAAAATTCAAACTTGGAACTAGAGCGCAAGTATTCAAGATCACGGGAACATGAGGTCTTCATTGGTCCTTGTTGGTTCCATGCATTGCGAAGTTCTTAATGGGGAAAAGCAAAAGGGAAACCGAAAACAGAACAAAAAGAAAAAATGGAAGGATGTCAAAAGAAGCCGCAGTGGTCGCAGCAGCACAACAACGACAACAACGACAAAGGAGGACGAGGAGGAGGGGGAGGAGGAGGTGGCTTAGGATGGAATCTCTTGTGAATGCGAGGAGTGCCCTGCTTTGTTGACCAATCCTTTTACCAAATCAATTGCTAACGGGCGCCGCGGTCGACAGATTCGGTCGAGGAGTGTCCTGCTTTGTCGACAAAGTGTTTTTTTGGAATTTTCTCCAAATCAATTGCAAATGCGCACCGCGGTTGGCAGATTGGCTCTGACTAGTCAGGGTCCTGGTAATGGTCTGAGTACCGCTAGCAAGTTATATTTGTTGAGCTTACTCGTTGCATTTCGTTCGAGGACCTTCCTTTCTTTCCTCTTTTCACTTTTTTTTTTAAAGGGAGACAGCCTAGAGATACAATCGTTGAACTGACCGGTCCCAGGTAAGTTCAGAGTTATTACGCATCTGATTCCATTGATCTCATTGGAATTTGAACTCATGTCTGTGTTTCAAAATTGCATACCAATTGAGCTAGTCCACCACTTGGTCCCTTTCCATTTGGCCTTCTGAGTGTTTTCCTTTGTCTTGACTCTTCTTACATCTTCTCTTTTCGAAGCCAAAAACAACGTCCTTTTTCTGAACCCTCACCACCCTTTAAACTGCGACAAGCACCTTCAGGTCAGTTTTGGGGGTAACGCAGGTTGAAAACAAAACATGGAAAAAAAGAAAAGGATTTCCGAAACAAACAAACAAACAAAAAAAAAAAAAAAACAAAAAAAAAAAAAAACACCTTAAGGTCAAAAGAAAAGGATTTAAAAAACATATTAAATTGTTGGGTACCCATTCTTGTTGACAATGACAGAGCAATGATATGTTCAAGCTGTTTCTTGATGAGACAATGACCTACTCTTGTGCCATCTTCAAGGTATGATCAATCACTGCTGCTTCCTGTTGCTTCTCTTCCATGGCATACCCTTGGCTTCCCTGTTTCCATTTTGTTTTCCTGTGCAAACAGCAGACAATCTTTGTCCTGTTTCAGAAATGTCAAAAAGTAGAGAGTTATAATTTTTCGCAATGATTGAACCAGAAGATATGCTATGGAGTACTGGGCTAGGGCATTGGACCTCTGCGATTCTCTCTTCCCGACTCGCCTTCCTGAACACCCCATCCGACTCCTTCTATGGACTAACGTCCCCGCTCACTTCCACAAGACCGAGAGGATCTGGTTTGGAATGACCAGAAAGGTAACACTCTGGTCTATATGGTAGTAAAGGTGCAGCAGAACCATTGAAGGTCTCTCAACTCCAAGGGAGAAGCTATGGGCGGAAACAACGACATTGAATCAGGCAGAGATTGTATGCAAGTGGCAGAAAACAAGACACTCCATGCTGGACGATGTGGACCAGCAGCAGAGAATCATGGTACGGGGGTTTGATCCCTCGGCATAACCGCATAAGGCCCTCCATCAGGCACGTGCCCGCCCTAAGTGAAGGCGGGCCCCTCAACTCGTCAATTTTTGCAAATCTTGGTCGGCGCCAGAAAGTTGCCACGCACCAGTTGGTTACATCCGCCTTGCTCGTGAGAATCCGAAATATTCGTGAGCCTTCTAGGCTCTTCCGGCACGTGGTGTAAGCAGGGAGCACCACACGTTTGTGCCTGGGTGGTTGGGCATGCCTAACCAATTCGGTCCCAGGCCACTGTCTGAACGGGCCTGGGCGCAAACACTTTGGCCGAGACTGAAGCTATTGGAAACTCGATCTCATGTGGGAAGCGAGACAAAGCGCCTGCCACTTTCCATATAGGAAAGGGCAGGGCACCGGGGAAGGGATCGGGCACTTGTGAGCAGATGCAGCAGCGCTGCTGGAGCTAGCGCTTGCAGGCTGCTGCGCTAGTGCATAGGCAAGTGTGCGCGTGCGTGCGGTCATGCGAGAAGGCAGGGCGCTGCTGAGGGCAGCGCCATAGCCAGCCCCCATTGTCAGGCTTGGCTTGGATTTAGCCAGTGGAGGTGGTGGTGGTCATTGTGTATGAGGGAGAAGACGTGGGTGAGAGAAGATGAGAGGGAGAGTGAGAGATATGAGGATGATGATGTGAGGGCACGTACCTTGTCTTGGCGATGGTCTACAAGGTAGACATCTTCATGCACTTCAGTTGTTGCTGTTGCCGTCAACGGTCAACGGGATGCATTGTCAATTCGTAGGCTGTTAGTAGCTGTGTAGTAGTAGTCTGGGCGCTGAGCGCCAAGTAGGAGGAAGGGCTCTGGGTACATATGCTGGTGGTGGCGAGAGTATGCTCTCATTGACATTCGGATTCAGTACTTTGGTTCTCCATTGGTGGAATATCAGTGCATTTCTGCTTTCTGGACAGCGTTGGACTTTCTGGCCTTCAATGTGAATTTGCATTCTGAATTTCTGTCATTTCACCATCGCTCATTATCCTTGCAATGGATAAATTCACAAAGGAGTGGCTGGCAGGTGCCAAGGTAGCAGACATAAAGGACTCCCACATACGGTGGAAAGACTGGCACGATTCCGAAGCAGGTTTCAATGGCAGAGATGTCAGCCAGCAGATGGATAAGATCCATCACAGGCTACGTAAACTCCGTGGCAAAAGGTGTTGAATTTGCAAGTTCTGAGAATGTGGTTTCCTCATCTTCTACCCCTTTGCTTTCACGATAGATATGACTGGCTCAGGAAATTGGACCTGAGAGGAAAGGTAGACGTAAGGCAAGCTGACAGTCAATGCTCCCCATAATGGATATGGAGCCAGGGCTATAAGGAATTGTTTGTTTTTTTTTTGTTTTTTTTAATGGAAAAAAATGAAAGCTGCCTTCTCCTCAAATGGGGGCCATTTTTTACTACTTATATTCTTTTCTGAGTTTTCTCTCAATATTCATTTTATCTCATACTACCTACCCCAAGCTATGTACTTGGGTTTAGGGTCTTCCTGCATTGGACAGAGGAACAGCCTTAAATATACTAAGTTACTAACCAAGACTAAGCTATCATAAGGTTACGGGTCTATGCCTACCTAACTCTGCTCTGGGCTGGGAGCAGCACCCAAGCTCCTAACACCTCACCTGGCTCGGGCTGGAAAGACAGACTCAACTTCCACAACCAGCCAGCAGGGACGGGCTGACTTTCTCAGTCGGCGAACCCGAAGTATGCCACACAGGGGGTTGTGGTGGGGAATCGAACCCACAACTTCCTGTGTACCACTTACGTTTTTTTTTTTTTTTTTTT